ATGGTCAGTAAACCATTTACCAGTGGTTTTGGCACTGTGAGAAGGTGTCAGGTCATGCTGAAAAATGAAATCTTCATCTCCATAAAGCTTTTGAACAGATGGAAGCATGACATGCTCCAAAATCTCCTGATAGCTAGCTGCATTGACCCTGCCCTTGATCAAACACAGTGGACCAACACCAGCAGCTGACATGGCACCCCAGACCATCACTGACTGTGGGTACTTGACACTGGACTTCAGGCATTTTGGCATTTCCCTCTGCCCAGTCTTCCTCCAGACTCTGGCACCTTGATTTCCGAATGACATGCAAAATTTGCTTTCATCTGAAAAAAGTACTTTGGACCACTGAGCAACAGTCCAGTGCTGCTTCTCTGTCGCCCAGGTCAGGCGCTTCTGCCGTTGTTTCTGGTTCAAAAGTTTCTTGACCAGGGGAATGCAGCACCTGTAGCCCATTTCCTACACACGCCTGTACACGGTGACTCTGGATGTTTCTACTCCAGACTCAGTCCACTGCTTCCACAGGTCCCCCAAGGTCTGGAATCGGTCCTTCTCGACAATCTTCCTCAGGGTCCGGTCACCTCTTCTCATTGTGCAGTAGGGCTGCAACAACGAATCGATAAATTAGATGAAAATCGATTACTAGAAGCGTTGGCAACAAATTGCGTCATCGATTCGTTGTGTTGCGCAACTCTTCCAAAAGCCCCCCATCACCACCACCCCCCCCCCCCCCCCGGCCGCCGTTGCGCACAGACCAGAAGCAAATCAGATCAGCGTGAGGGAGAGCCGGCAGGTGTTCGGAAGAGGAACATGGCAGAAGCAGCGAGACCCAAAAAAGTAAAAACTTCTAAAGTTTGGGAGCATTTTCAGTTAAATCAGGCGAAGACATTCGTTACCTGCAACGTTTGTAGGCATGGCACGGGAGTACTACGGTGATGATGCAGCATCTTAAACGCAAGCATGCCGAATCATCAGCGAGGAAGGAGAGAGCTCTGTGTCCGGGTAAGTTAAAAACTTTTCAAAAGTGATTCACCCAAGCCCCTGATTATTACACAGGCTAGACATGCCCTAAGCTCGTAAAAAAAGTCTGTAAAATCGTAAGCGCGACGCTATAAGATAAACGGGGGTGGGGGGTGGACTTGCGCTGCTGCGAACCAGTTCCGCCGTCACATTCCCGCAGAAACTGGTTGATTACACCGGGGCCAGACTACTAGCACCACAATGTCCTCAGAAGCGAAAACGCTTTTAAAAGGGAGGGAGAAGTGCTAACTCTCGCTGCAGGCGTGTTGTGTGTGTGCAGTTATTTACTGGTTAATATATTTTTGGATTCAGTTGCTTTCATGTGGCCTAATGTGAGTCTATTTGGGATCATTGGAATGATCAGCAGCATTTCTTGATGTGACTTTATGGCAGTTGCCCATGGCATCATCACAAGGAGGATGGCATTCAATTACTTTTGTTTTATTTGGTATTTTTTCAGTCATTTTTGGAAATAGTGATTAATTTTGATTAATTCACAGCCTATGTTTAATTACATTTAAAAATTAGTTGTTTGACATCCCCAGTTATAATAAATGTCTATAGATGAGATCAAACAAAACAGATGAGAATTCCCCTTAAAGAGCAAGTCACCCCCAAATAAACATTTTTTTTGCTGATAAACAAAATAAATGAGTGTCTAATCGTGCTGCAGACACGTGTCGTCAATAATTTGGCACTTCAGTGCATCTTAGTTCAAATTTAAATATTCTGCCTAAAACTGACAGTGTTGTGCCGTTGTCAGGTAAAAACTCTGCACTGTATTTTAATTTAAATCTGCCACCGCTATTGGCTAAGAAGTATGCTATGATGTAAACTGGTACATTATGATGTCACAATGCTGTCGTGAGCCTGAGTGTGTGTGTATTTGTTAGCGGCTCCGCCCTCTCGGTCTGCCAGGCAACAGCATGTGTTGCATTTTTCAAACATGAAGTGGGAGTGGAGTTAGACTCCGGTAGGGGTTGACTTGCTCTTTAAGCTGTTTAACTTGGACCAAGCATTTTAGGTCACAGATAGGTGTAGCTTAGGGTCAATACACCTTGTAAGACAATTTAGGTGATGGCATGTTGTTTTTCTGCTATTGAACTGTTTTCTAATAATGTTGTGTTTAATAAAGTGAAGGAAGGAGATAAATAACGTTTCCCTAGCAGTTTTTAACAATGTCCCCATGTAATCCGATTAATCGATTAATCGTGTCGAGACCCCATCCGATTCATCGACTATCCAAATGATTGTTGCAGCCCTATTGTGCAGCATTTTCTGCCACACTTTTTCCTTCCCACAGACTTCCCACTGAGGTGCCTTGATACAGCATTCTGGGAACAGCCTATTCATTCAGAAATTTCTTTCTGTGTCTTACTCTCTTGCTTGAGGGTGTCAATGATGGCCTTCTAGACAGCAGTCAGGTCGGCAGTCTTACCCATGATTGCGGTTGTGAGTAATGAACCAGGCTGGGAGTTTTTAAAAGCCTCAGGAATCTTTTGCAGGTGTTTAGAGTTAATTAGTTGATTCAGATGATTAGGTTAATAGCTCTTTTAGAGAACCTGTTCATGTTATGCAAATTTTTTTAGATAGAAATTTTGGGTTTTCATGAGCTGTATGCCAAAATCATCAATATTAGAAGCAATAAAAGGCTTGAACTACTTCAATCAGTCAATCAATCAATCAAATTTTATTTGTATAGCACCTTCTACAACATTATCGGAAGCCCAAGGTGCTGAACAACATCATTAAAAGAAAAACATTCCCAGTACATGGGCATAAAAGCAGGATAAAAACATAAAATCATAAAATATCAAGCAAACACTATTACAGATAAGAGATATCGGAATAAGACTAATCGATAAAAAAACAAATGTTCGATAAAATAAAATCAAGCATCTGAGTTAAAAAGAAGAATAGTTAAAACCATAATGTTAGGGCAATTCAAATGACCCTAGCGCTAAAACGCAATCAGATAAAAATGAGTCTTTAAACGAGACTTAAAGACTTGAAGGGATGGTGCCTGCCTAATGCTCAGTGGCAATTCGTTCCACAGAGTTGGAGCCAAAATAGAAAAAGCACGACAACCCCTCGATCGAAATTTCGACCGGGGGACCACCAGAAGTTCCTGCTTGGCTGAGCGAAGAGACAGAGATGGAGCATACCTGTTCAAAAGCGCAGTAATGTACGAGGGGGCACTGCCCTGGAGGGCCTTATAAACGAGAGTTAAGATTTTAAACTGAGCTCGATATTTTACCGGGAGCCAGTGCAGAGCAGCTAGCACTGGGGTAATGTGCTCTCGACATCTAGTGCCTGTCAGGAACCTAGCCACAGAGTTCTGCACAAACTGGAGCCGTGCAACTGTGCACTGGGCCAGACCAGCATACAGAGCGTTGCAGTAGTCAGTTGTGTGTAATGAATGTAATATATGAAAATCTAATGTTTATCAGTACATTACAGAAAATAATGAACGTTATCACAATATGCTAATTTTTTGAGAAGGACCTGCATATACATTTGAAGGAAGACAAAAATGAATAAGAAAATGTAATCATGCTGCTTTTTAAAGGAGACCACTGAGTTCACTGATCGGGGGGCCAAAACAGCAAATGATCTGTCACCTTTGGTCTTTAACCTGGTGCCTCAGGGACCTGCTGGGGGTGTAGGGACTGAGAAGATCACTGATGTATGATGGTGTTTGTCCACGTAAGGCCCTAAAGACCAGAACCAGGATCTTGAAATGAACCCTGAAGTTGACTGGCAGCCAGTGAAGCTGGAGGAGAAGCGGGGTGATGTGGGTGTGTTTGGAGGACTTGGTCAGAAGCCGGGAACAGGCATTCTGAACCACCTGTAGACGGTTCAGGGAGGTTCTGCTCAGACACGTGAAAAGAGAGTTACAGTAGTCTAAGCACATTAGACCATTAACCGTGTTGGAGAGGAACGCTACAACTAGGAACAAACTTTTGAATGTGCAAGAGGGTAAAGGTTAAGATGGGGTTGAGGGGAAGGTTAAATAGCAAGAGGGTAAAGGTCAGAATTCGGTGAAATTTGCGTTTTGCCAAGGGAGTCGGAATCCCACTCTACGTCACAGAGCGTTTGTTTCCGACGCGTCAAAAACAAACGCTTGGTCACCCAGCGTCAGTTTTTGACGCTTTGGGAGTGAGAATGAGTTGGCTTGTCTGGGGCACAGATGAGGATCTCAGTCTTATCTTCATTCAGCTGTAGAAAGTTCCCAGCCATCCAGGTTTTAATAGAATCTAAGCAGATGTGTAACAGTGGCCGCTTAGACATCTCATGGGGCTTAACGGAGATGTACAGTTGGATGTCATCTGCATAAAGATGATAGGAGTATGAGTTAACAGTAAGGACTGAGTGATGATGGGAAGATGATAGTTTCACACTTTAGTTCTAAATTAATTTTGCTGAAACTGCTGAAGAGGAAACAAACAGTCACACATCTACTGTTGACACAGCTTTGCTGTAACCTGTTGATTTTGGGTGGAGAACGTCTCAGCTCCTCCAAGTTAAACTTACCAGCTCCTGTACAAACACAACTGACACCTCTCACAGCAAAGTACATTAAAATGTCTAGCTACTAGGTCTTTTATTACAGTGTTTCCTGATCATTAGAGCAGCCTAACTGAACTTAATAGAAGGCTAAAATCATATTACTGCCATGTTTTAATGTTAATGGCTTGATAATCTGCAGACTGTTTGTTTCCCAACAATATTAATATACTATAAATAAATTCTTCCTTTGCTGCTAGTCTCTTAAATGAAATTGGTATTGTAAAAGTATGATCATTTTAATCAGACAAAACATTTTTATTCTTTTTCCAATTCTGTTGTTTACATTACAATGAGTCTCATTTTAAAATGGATGGACAGAAGTTGAAAGCCAGTCTATGTTTAAATACAGCTCCTTACCTGCTCTCAGATGCTGGATCAGGTTTTGTGTTTTTCTACTAAAACTGTGTCTGTACCTGTGTGTTGTCCGGTGAAACATCTTCACTGGGGACGTCTGGACTGATGTCTGTTAATATCTCAGGCACGACCGGTGTTTCCAGCTCCATCCCTCTAAGATACCTCTCTAAGTAAACGTCCTCTTGTCCACAGAGGTCATTGAATGTCTCCTGAGACAGAACCCAGTCTGAAGGTATGCTCAGTCTGTGATCACTCCTTAAAACTCCTCCTTCCGGTACCTGCAGGCCACTCCCAGCACTTCCTGATGATACAGCGGCCTTTTAAAATTCAATTTCAAAAACACTTAAATAATCCCAGAGGGAAGGTAAAAGCTGTAACTCATTTTATTTCAAGTCGTAATAATAATGAAATTTCAGTAACAATAATAATCTCAATTACCACGCTGTTTGGAGTTTCCATTGCAGCTCGGAGTTTTGTGCTGCTGGAGCTGCGTGTTGGAGCAAACATGACTGTGGTCCTCTCTCACGACCCTAATGTCTGGAACAGAGATGCTCATCCGATGGTCCATGTTGTGATCCAGCTGGAGGATGTGCGGTTTGGAATTCTTGTCACGCCGGAAATGAGGCATCACCCTCTTTCGAAAAGTGTGCAGCTTGCTCAGTTTCTTGGAGTCCATCGTGTTAGAGGAGTTGTATCTACGATCTGGAGATCAACAGGTACAGTAGAAAACAAAGGGAGGGGGAAAACATTAAGAACATCTGCTAAGAGCATTATGGAAAAAAGTCCTACAACAATATTAATTTTCATATTGGTGTATAGTCAGAATATAAAACAAATCACTATTTTTTCCATCTTTGATGTTCCTTGGTACTTTTAAGTGAAATTTAAAGCAGTTTTTATTTTGACAAGAAAATTTTTTGTCTTTTGACAAAAATTCTTATCCATTTAGACACAATTTAGTTGTCCAATTTGTTTTATTTTAGTCTTATTTTAGGTGCTAAATATATGTTATTTTATTCTGATGCAATATTTTTCAACTTGTGTAAATCAAATAATAACTACACCTACTAGAAACTGTAAACAAATGTGAAAACTTCACATTTCTCACTTTGGATCAATAAAACACTACTATTATAATTGTTTTATTAACAATAATTAATGAGAAATAACAAAATGAAAACTGACAGTTTGGAATTGTGCCTCTCATTATCAATACAGTAAACAAATCTGTATAATGTGCAGTAAAAATTGTAAACATGACAGCAAATGACTTCCTACCATCAAAATAATGGTGTCACTCTAATGATGCCAGAAGGTAAACTAAAAGTATTTTAGTCCGTATGGCTTTGAGGAGATTCTGGTCAACCATCCGACGCTTCAGAAGGGGAAAGCAGTGTGCTACCAACACTGTTTATAGTGGGGATGGTGTGCTGCTGACCTCTACTCAGGACTTTGTGGATCGGTGGGCTGAAAACTTCAAAGACCTCATCAATCCCACTGGTACGTCTTCCAGTGAGGAAGCAGAGTCTGGGAACCTTGAGTTGTACTCTCCAATCTCTGGGGCAGAGGTCAGTGAGGTGGTCAAAAAGCTCCTCTGTGGCAAGGCTCCGGGGGTAGATGAGATCCGCCCCGAGTTCCATAAGACGCTGGATGTTGTGGGGCTGTGTTGGCTGCAATACTGAGGGTGCATGGGAGTTTGTCCAACCAATCTACGTGTGTTTTGTGGATTTGGAGAAGGCGTTCGACCGCGTCCCCAGGGGCACCCTGTGGGGGGGTACTCCGGGTGTATGGGGTACCAGGCCCTTTGATAAGGGCTGTTAGGTCCCTGTATGACCGGTGTCAGAGCTTGGTCCGCATTGCCAGCAGTAAGTCGAGCTCATTCAATGTGGGAGTTGGACTCCGCCAAGGCTGCCCTTTGTCACCGATTCTGCTCATAACTTTTATGGACAGGATTTCTAGGCACAGCCAAGGTGTTGAAGGATCTGTTTTGGTGGCCTAAGGATCAAGTCTGCTTTTTGCAGATGATGTGGTCCTTTTGGCTTCATCAGAACGTGATCTGCAGCTTTCGCTGGAGTGGTTCGAAGCCAGGTGTGAAGTAGCTGGGATGAGAATCAGCTCCTCTAAATCCAAGACCATGGTCTTAAGTTGTAAAAAGTTAGAATGCCTTCTCCAGGTCAGGGATGAGGTCCTGCCTCAAGTGGAGGAGTTTAAGTATGTCGGGGTCTTGCTCACGAGTGAGGGAAAGATGGAGCGCGAGATTGATAGGCGGATTGGTGCTGCATCTGCAGTGATGCGGGCGTTGTACCGATCTGTCATGGTAAAGAGAGAGCTGAGCCAGAAGGCAAAGCTCTCGATTTACCGGTCGATCTACGTTCCTACCATCACCTATGGTCATGAGCTTTTGGTAGAGACCGAAAGAACGAGATCGCGGATACAAGCGGCCGAAATGAGTTTTCTCAGCTGGGTGGCTGGGCTCTCCCTTAGAGATAGGGTGAGAAGCTCGGTCAGGCATTCAGAGTAGACGCGCTGCTCCTCCACATCAAGAGAAACCAGTTGAGGTGGCTAGGGCATCTGGTCAGGATGCCTCCTGGACGCCTCCTTGGTGAGGCTTTCAGGGCATGTTCAACTGGGAGGAGACCCAAGGGAAGACCCAGGACACGCTGGAGCAGGGGTGTCAAACTCATTTTAGTTCAGAGGCCACATTGAGGGAAATCTAGTCCCAAGTGGGCCGGACCGGTAAATTAATAACAACTTCAGAGTGTTTTCTTTGTTTTAATACAATCAATATAAAAAAAAGCTGGAGCCTGAGGACAATGTATCCAAAATAGTACAAGTACAACACCTGAAGTGTACTTGAAAATTTGAAAAATAAATAAAAATCAATCAATAAAAAAAAAACATTCCTTAGTGATTCAAAGAGCTTACAGATCACATGGCTAGATCAGTTTCATGCAGCACTTAAAGTATATTTGACTCATTTTACTTTACATCTTTTAGCTTTCACCAGCACATCAATATCAGAAGTCACATCCTGAGTGGCGGCCAACTTCAGGATGTTTATTCAAGTTCTTGTGTGAGCCTTGAGCGCAGCTTTGTTTTATTTATACTCATTACAGAGGAAACTTGCTCACAAAGATAAGTTTTAGGGCTGCAACAAACGATTATTTGGATAATCAATTAATCGGATGGGGTCTCGACACGATTAATCGATTAATCGGATTACATGGGGAAATTTTTAAAAACTGCTAGGGAAACGTTATTTCTCTCCTTCACTTTATTTAACACAACATTATTAGAAAACAGTTCAATAGCAGAAAAACAACATGCCATCACCTAAATTGTCTTATAAGGTGTATAGACAGAGACCCTAAGCTACATCTATCTGTGACCTAAAATGCTTGGTCCAAGTTAAACAGCTTAAGGGCAATTCTCATCTGTTTTGTTTGATCTCATCTGTTGACATTTATTTTAAATGTAATTAAACATAGGCTGTGAATTAATCAAAATTGATCACTATTTCCAAAAATGACTGAAAAAGTACCAAATAAAACAAAAATAAATGAATGCCATCCTCCTTGCGATGATGCCCTGGGCAACTGCCATAAAGTCACATCAAGAAATGCTGCTGATCATTCCAATGATCCCAAATAGACTCACATTAGGCCACATGAAAGCAACTGAACCCAAAAATATATTAACCAGTATATAACTGCACTCTCACACAACACGCCTGCAGCAACAGTTAGGACTCCTCCCTCCCTTTTAAAAGCGTTTTTGCTTCTGAGGACATTGTGGTTGTAAAACCACATGCTAGTAGTCTGGCCCCGGTGTGATCAACCAGTTTCTGCGGGAATGTGACGGCGGAACCAGGGCCAGATTAACACTTTGTTGTACCCTGGGCAACAATATTCAAGGGCTCCATCATCACGACCCAAGGATCACCATAATGTGGTCACATACAGAATATTTTACTGTAATATGCAGTAAATATACTCAATACTTTAATGCCTGACAACACGTAACCCGCCCAGAGTAACCTTTGACCCACCTCGTGTGGACTGACCAATGAGGAGAGGGTCTTAACTTGAGGCCCTCTCTTCATTGGTCAGTCTGCATGAGACTGACTCTCAACTGACGTTCAGTCATAGGCAGCGAAGCGTCTCTGTGCAGTGCAAAAGCCCGGGTGGACAGTTTGTTTAAAGAGCAAGTCACCCCTTACAAGAAGTGTACTCCACTCCCACTTCATGTTTGAAAAATGCAATAAATGCTGTTGCCTAGCAGACCGAGAGGGTGGAGCCACTAACAAATACACACACACTCACGACATTGTGACATCATAATGTACCAGTTTACATCATAGCATACCTCTTAGCCAATAGCGGTGGCAGATTTAAATTCAAATGCAGTGAAGAGTTTTTACCTGACAACGGCACAACACTGACCGTTTCAGGCAGAAAATTTAAATTTTAACTAAAATGCACTGAAGTGCTAAACTATTGACTTCACATGTCTGCAGCACGATTAGACACGCATTTATATAGTTTATCAGAAAAAAATAGTTGATTTGGGGGTGACTTGCTCTTTAATGTAGGGTGACCATATTTCCATTTCCAAACAAGAGGACAGGGGATCTGTGCCAATGACGTCACACTATGGCAATGCCACACAAACCATGTTGGGACCCATTTTTTGTAAGAACTAAATTAATATCAGATTCTGCCAATTAAAGGGCTCTAAAACAATTCATATGTAAATATTTTGCATATTTAATGCAAAATCTAATTTTTCTGCTTTAGTGCTGCAACAAGGTTTTATTAATAATAAATTATTATACCTTTTGTTTTACTACAGCATCGGTAAGCTTCCTGTGCACAGATTATTAAGGATGCTTGTTTCAGCTGTGAGATTAGACGATAGGATCAATGAAAAAATAAGTTGTCACACACTCCATGGAAACTTTCAGAGAATCCACAAATAGTGGCTTTCAAATGGTTTTGTTACTTTTTGCAAGTTTAGAAAAGCAGCAGATGAGACAGCATGTCTGATAATTTAGTTTTTCATCTGATAATATTAGAACATGTCAGTAATGTCTGAGGGGCTTTTATAAACACCATATAACTAACACTACTGGAGAGGGCATGAATTACACAGAGGCTTCTGGGGAGCCCACTTATTGGGGGGGGGGGGGGGGGGGGCATTTTGCCTTGGCCCCCAAAATGTCTTGAAACGGCCCTGGGTGTGTGACTGAGTTTTGAAGGTGATCTGAATTGTATCAGATGTATAAATATAACATGTGTATAACTTATTGTTTTTTACTGGTAAAACGTGTAGTGGAGATAAATCTACCTACATTTGACTTTTCAACACTTTGTTTTGTTTTCTTGTTTTTATTTAACTATTTTCCTGTCCTGTCTGTCTCTCATCTTCCTGCATCTCCTCTTAATTCTCCAGAAAATCTGTTGCCTGGATTCTTACCTTTTCACCTCATCAGTTACTTTTGAGCAGATCAAAGGGCTCTCCTGACCGAAAAGCGGAGAGCGCGTTTTCGATGCTGTGTGAGGTGACATCACCACAGCACAGGTGATGAGCTCCGCAGTAGCGAGCTTCAGGCACAAATAAGACAGAAAATAGAGAACATGTGCGGACATGAACGATCGTGTGCTAATTATAGTTTTTTGGTTGCGCCACTTTGAGAATGGACC